AATTTAATATTATTAATATAAATTAAGTTTTTAAATATAAATTAAAATTTAAAACATTAAATAAACTTATATAAATAATATATAATAAATTAATTTTGAACTTTAATTTTATAAAATAAGTTTTCTTAAATATTAAAACGATTTGAATCATTCTGATCTGTGACTCATTCTCATATACCGTAACCAAAACATGTCCATCTTACTAATAATTTACTTGGTGAATAACTAAACCCATTCAACTAAATCAGATTTTAAATATTTTCATAATCTTCTTTTTGGTAGATTTCATAGTCATTACATCATAGAATTTCACTTGAACAACGTGTTGTTTACTCATCAGGCCGTAACTCTTTTCTATGAAAATTTTGAATGAAGATCGATATCCAAATAAAAAGAAGTTGATTGGTGGGTTAATCATTCAAATTTCCTACTCTTGTCATAAAGGTGTTCGTTATGGTGAAGAAAACAACGAAAGATCGAGAGATTGTGATTTGTGAATCAACCGGAAGTAATCAATCCACAAGGAATAACAAAAATGATTCGGGCACGAAAATATATGCACTGTGAGCCACTGACAACTACCAATCGAAATGTATGGTACCATTATTTAGAACTATGATGCCATGTCATAACTCATAGGTACTGTAAACAGTAAGATCAAGATTAGTCGGAAAGATTGACCTAACTAACTCCTTTGTCCAATTTTTACTCAAACATATTGAAAATTGCACCTTAATGAGTTATTTTAGAACAATGTCTTTCGTGATCATTGTTTAAATTAGAGGCAGCAAGTTATTTTATTTAATAAATTTTCTATAAATTAATTTTATTATTTTAACCAATATAATTTTTAATATTATTAAAAACTAATATAATTCTTAATATTAAGTCGAATGATGAAGTATACTAAATTTTAGGTACATTAAATATTTATAATCATATAATCTTACACATTATAAAAAAAATTAATCTCACAATAATATATATCAATATAATATTTGTCATTAAAATATATTTTTAATTATACAATAATATATGTTTATATATTATTAAAATATATAAATACAAATTATAATA